CTGAGCAAATAACAGTTCTTGGATGACAATTTTATTTTCTTTATTTATGTCACAAACACACATAAATTCAGCTTCTCGGTGATGAGCAAAAAATTTTTCTCTTATGTTTTGAACAAGAGCAATGGCTGATTTTCCTTTAGGTACATGGCAGTTTTCAATGTCCCAAAATACTCCAATAGGTGGCAATATATGCTGACTGAGGGCATTTTGGAATTTGGCAGCAATGTTACTTTTACAGCCTTCTATATTTATCAAAAAGAAAATAATGTCATTAAAAGCAAAAATATCATTAACACTGTTTTACAAATTATATAAACAGCAATAGTTATTTTTTATGCTTTAGAAGAAATAAGAATGAATGCAAGAAAGAGTAACTAATGCAAAATGCTAATTCAAATGAGCTGAAAGTGATTTTCACACAGAATTCAAAATAGTTAGGCATATAGTCTAAGTACTATTAAAATGCACAAACATTATTTTTTAAGTACACTGCTGAAGCAAGTTTATTATGGCAATTTCAATAAACTTCTGGGACTATTTTACTAATTTATATATGTTTGCTAGAAAATTTTATAGTTATTACAGCCCTTAACCAGTAATTTGTCTATCTGTAAGTAATTCATTACCACCATGCTTAAACGAACTTAAAATTAAGTGAACAAAATTCATGTTATAATAAATCAGACACTTTTTATTAAAAGAAATTTCCCCATACATTAAAAAAAAAATCAAAATCGTAACAGCCTTATTTCCTCAATTCAAATTTTTATAGAACAATAAACCATTATCCCTTCTTTATTTCACAGGTAAATGGATTCACAATAAATACTTCTATTTTGACTAAAAGCACATTATAAAGTGCTAAAAGCATACTGGACTAAAAGTCCATTTGAGAAAAGACACTTTATCCCTTTTCTCTCACAAGTAAGTTTTTGCAAAGATTCTGGAAGAATAAATTTTAAGTGTTATCATTTTAAAATGATGCTACAGTCACTAGAAAATTTCATGACTTATCTCTTACTTAAGCCCAAATGCACATCAACTGGTTAGCTTCTACTAACCACTACAATACCTAGAAGATGGATTGCTTTCCAATGACTTTGCAATAAGAAATAAAAAAACAGAAAAATTACAACAGCATTTTACATTGATTATGAACTTAATCTGCTTTCAAAATTATGCAGACATGCAGAAAAAATAAATGAAAAAATGTAAATATTTTTCAGCAAGTTTGTAAAGAGTTTGTAAGAGACATGGAAACTGATTTTACTTTTTTACTGTCAATACAGTTAATTTGGTAAAATTTAAAAATTTAAATTTACAGTATTCCATTTCCGTGTCATAATTCAATAAACTGATATCATAGGATTGCAAGATTTGCTCACTTATGCAAACAAAATTTTTTCACAAATATTGTTCTCAGATAACCCAGTAGTCAGAATAAGAATATGATAAAGCTTCTGCTATTCTCGGTTGAAAAAGACAGAGATGGGTTCTGATTATGAATTTGTTTGGATAATCAATTTTCATATTAAAATAAAATATCTTAACTATTTATTCTATAACACTGCACTAATTTGAAATATATTTTTAAACTATTTATTCTATTTCATTATATTAATTTGAAATAATCTTAAGTTTAAAATATATTTTTAAGCACCAAGCATTTTACTTCGATACTAAATTAAGTTTTCAGCAAAAAATAAAAAAACTTTCAAGAAAATTACTGCCTATCTGTAACTGTTGACTTTTCAATAATCCATAGATAATCGGAATACAATCTACAGATATTTGCCATTTCATATACTACAGATTACTTATTGTTTCAGCCATTTCTAATAAACTGATAACTGTTTACTTGTTTTTACTGAAAACACTAATTTTTGTGGGGGGGGGAACCTTCTGACTATTCACTTAACCCTGAGAATTTGCCTAGCAATGCACTATGATAATCAATTTTATAATGTTGCAAAAAGGTATTTACACTGAAGTGACAAAAGTCATGGGATAGCAATATGCAAATATACAGATGGCAGTAGTATTGCGTAGAAAATGTATAAATGGGAAGTGCTTTGGCAGGGCTTTCATTTGTGTTCAAGTTATTTATGTGAAGAGGCTTTGACGTGATTATGGCCGCACGACGAGAATAAACAGACTTTGAACGCAGAATGGTAGTTGGAGCTAGATGCATGGGTCATTCCATTTCGGATATCGTTAGGGAATTCAACATTCCGATATCCACAGTGTCAAGAATGTGCCGAGTGTATCTAATTTCAGGCATAACATCCCACCGTGGACAGCGCAGTGGCCAACCACCTGCACTTAACGACCGAGAACAGCGACGTCTGTGTAGAGTTGTCAATGTTCACAGACAGGCAACACTGCGTCAAATAACTGCAGAAATCAATGTGGAACGTAGGAGGGATGTGTCTCATAGGACAGTGCGGCGAATTTGTCTTCCTTGGGCTATGCCAGCAAAAGACCAACTCGAGTGCCTTTACTGACAGCATGACATCACCTGCAGTGACTCTCGTGGGCTCGTGCGCAAATCGGTTGGTCCCAAAACGAATGAAAAACCGTGGCTTGGTCAGATGAGTCACGATTTCAGTTGGTAAGAGCTGATGGTAGGGTTCGAGTGTGGCGCAGACCCCATGAAGCCATGGACCCAAGTTGTCAACAAGGCACTGTTCAAGCTGGTGGTGTTTCCATAATGGTCTGGGCTGTTTACATGGCATGGACTCGGTCCTCTGGTGCAACTGAACCGATCATTGACTGGAAATGGATACCTTCAGCTACTTGGAGATCACTTACAGCCATTCATGGACTTCACGTACTCAAACAACAATGGGATTTTTATGGATGACAATGTGCTATGTCACCGGGCCACAATTGTTCACGATTGGTTAGAAGAACATTCTGGACAATTCCAGCGAATGATCTGGCCACCTAGATCACCTGACATGAATCCCATCGAACATTTACGGGACATCATCGAGAGGTCAGCTCGTGCCCAAAACCCTGCATCGTCAACACTTTCACAATTATGGACGTCCATAGAGGCAGCATGGCTCAATATTCCTCAATTTCCTGCATATTGCTGTGCACACAGGAAAACAACAGCAATGCCATATTCATGCAATGCTCTGAAGATTTTTTAAACAAAAACACATTGCTGTGTATATGGGGAACAACAGTGTTCACAGTGCTAAGCTGTGCACAATGCCAAATTTATCCATTTCTCTGATTTTTTTTAAGCTAAAACAGATTGCTGGCTACACATAAGGAGAAGAGAATAAAAAGGTAAGTGTTTTAATACAAATGCTTCTTGCATTTTTAATTATCAGAATTCCCTGCTGTTTTTACATAATGAAGCACTTTTTTAATTAAAATGGCTGTTGTTTTTCGCATTTTAAGTTGGCAAAAAATTAGTCACTGATGATGACTGGCAAATCTTTGGGAGGGTTGGACAGATAATCAGAAAGTACATTTGTTTCCTGATACAACTAACATAATAAAGTTGTAAAACTTTCTCTTTCCTTATTCCTTTCCAGAAGTTGAGTAAAGTACGTACGGTGACCGGGTTTGAAAGAAAAGTACCAATGTAGCTCATACATGATGTAAGACGTGACTAAATTGGGTACGCAGCATCCAAAGGTATAGCCGAGCACCCTGCCCCTGGCGATTATACCAGGGAACTGATCCTATCGGCTGGGGGTTGGGCAATGGAGCAAAACATTTAATTATAGACTTTAGGGCAATATCACCAGATTATACAAGTTATGCATTAAGGGTAGATTTTTCAATCATAGCGTTATCAATGCACATGTCCCTACTGAGGACAAGAAAGATAAATTTTATGAAGAACTCTCAAAATGCTTTAAGAGCTGTCTTTTCAATAACATTAATATTTTACTTGGTGATCTGAATACTAAAATAGGTGAGAGAAGGAGTTTAGAGACCCAAAACTGGTATGCTTATTACATGATAAATCTAATGATAATGGAATCTGCCTCACTGGGTTTGCCATTGCACATGACCTGGCTGTAATTTGAAAATATACTTGGAAGTCACCAGATGGAGCAACTTTTAATCAGATAGACTGGCACCGACATTTGACAAATTGCTTAATGTTAGAACTTTTAGAGGAGCTAGTATGGATGATGATTACTTTTCAGTTCTGGCTAGAATAAGAAGGAAAATCTCGAATGCTAATAAAGAATGGCTTCAGAAACGACAAAGATTTGATTGTAATAAGCTTAAAGAGGAAGAAATAGTTAGAATTTGATAGAGAAACATTGGAAAGGAGTATTTCAGAAGTGAAAAGAGATACCCCCAATCTTGAAGACATACAGCTTAAGTTTAGAACAACAGTATCCAATACTGCAGGTGTAGTTTTGAGCCATAAAGCTCAAGGAAAGAGAAAAGTTTGTATCTGAAGAAATATGCTATTGATGTCTTTTTACTATAAAACAAGTAAAAACATTGCAAAAACATGCTGAAAAGTTTGTGAAGTGTATAGTGAGAATGATGTGAGTAAACGAAGGACCCAGGAGTGGTTTGCTCAATTCTGTTCTGGAAATTTCGATGTCAATGATGCATCTTGCGCTGGTCGGGCAATCACTGAAAAAGTCGATAAAATTTTGCAAATGGTGGAGCAGGACAGGCACGCAAGCTGTTAGGAAATAGAGAAGGCACTAAACATCAACAACATGATAGTTTGGAATCATTTGAAAAGAGCAAGCTACAAAAAGAAGGTCGATGCTTGGGTGTCACATGAATTAACGCAAAGAAATTTGATTGACCGAATTACTATCAAGGAAATGCTGCTGAAACGCAACAAAATCGAATCATTTTTGGAGCGAATTATTTCAGACGATGAAAAATGGGTGAAATACAAGAATATCAAATACAAAACGATCATGGTCAAAAGCCAGTGACCCTCCACAAACGACTTCAAAGCCTGGATTGTCACCAAATAAGGTTATGTTGAATGTTTGGTGGGGATTGGAAAGCAGTTGTCCATTATGACCACCATTATGTCCATTATTACAACTAGACCGTTTGAATGAAGCAATCCAGGAAGAGTGACCAGAATTAGCCAACAGAAAGGGATTTATGTCCCATCACAACAATACACGGCCATACACATCTTTGATGAATAGAAACAAATTGGCGGAGCTAGGTTGGAAAGTTTTAATGTATCCACCATATAGCACAGACCTTGCTCTGTTTGACTACCATT